GGTACTAGTCTAACGGTCATGCTCTATGAAAACTCGTTTTTTCGCCGTTCGTTTAACGTTACACGCCCGTGGACAAAATATTAAAACGATAGGTGATGCCACACTGTCCCTTATCCATTTTATTTACCATTGTCCTCGAGATACAAGCCTTCCTCTGCAAATGCGCAGTGTTGTTTGATCTTGTTTTCTGTCAGTGATTCTGGACCGAAGGACGGATAAGAATTGTGATACTGGGCGTTTCGAGGTGATCTATAAGCAGCAGCTGCCGCCGAAGACGATCTTCAACGGTGTTGATCTGACGGTATCGGGAACCCGAATGAGCTCCGTCACCTCTGCTGAGAGCTCGCAGCCAACAACACGAGCTCCCAGCGTACGTCGGCAGCAGACTCCGTCGACCAACTTCACGGAGCCGCGATCAGTGGAGTCTGCGAGTCCTTTTACGGGGACCGTGTAAGTTGTATATGCTACGAAGGCTGTGTAATTTCAATAGGTGGGGCCTCATGTCTCCCCCCATAAATGTTGGCAGTTGTCTCGTTTATCTCGATAGGATTTTGTGAAACAAAGGAGGGGTTGGATTTTGGTAAGGATTCCTTATAAATAAAACCACATTAACAAAAACCCCGGTTTGTGTTATGCCGAACTGGTGGTAAAAAAACGTTAGATGGGTGGTCATAGCAGAAGAAAGGAAAGATGATTAAAAGGTAGAGCGTATAAAAGTAAAAAAACAAAAGGAATAATTATTTAACTAACCTAATGTATGGTGCGCGATAATTGAAATGAAAAATGCAATCAGTAGGAAGCAAAAACTGCTCAAAATGCGGAACAGTGCAAATTGAATAACTGAAAATGTGCAGAACTTTACAAAGAACTGCGAGTTTTCGAGATTAAATTGAAACCACGTCACGTAACCTTTACCATTTTTTTCACACATAATAGCTTCTAACGCATTTGGTTAGGTATTTTAGTACGAGACGTGAAAAGCGACTGTGTGTCCGCTAATTAAACTAAAATTGAATTAAACTAAACTTAATTAAAAGTAAACTAAAAAATAAAATATTAAAAATCGATAATGAACTAAAAACTAAACTAAAACTAAAGTGAATGAAGAATAAACTAAAATAAGCTAGGTAAATTAAGGTAAACTAAACTAAACAGCATAAACTGAAAACTAAAATAATTAAAACTAAAGTAAAGCAAAACTAAAGACTAAACTGAACTGAGATAAAACTTAGCTAAACTAAACTAAAACGAATAAAAAGAAAAGGAACCGCAGCAGTTTAAAGATTTTCATGTGGGAAGTGCAATGGAGTTGTAAATGCTGAGTACGTACACAAGAAAACGGGCTTACTACAGCGAAAAATCTAGTTATTTATGCATAGCAAAATACGGCGTTGATTAGAAGGAATCATTACCTGATTTTTTAGTTATTCAAAATCATCAAAAGGCTGAGTTTGGCACATTAATACTGGATTTATGTCGGGCCGTGAATCCGGCAGACTAGATCTTATAGCAACAATATAAAGTACGTGTCAAGCTGAGTATCCGTTAGTGAACTGTCACTAGAAATATGTTGGAGCGAAGCTAACGTCATTGGCTGTTATCCGTTTGTCCGCAATAACCAAGCCACCGTTTTTGTGCTTGCTAACACCGCTTTTAGAATAAAGCAACCCTTGTGGATTCTTTCTGAGTGCCGCAGTAGTGCACCAATTTGTGCCGACTTTCAACGGTTTCTGATTCTGGGGAAGTGTTAAAAAGGTTAATCTATGCCTATTCCATTTATTGTTCCTCACTTTAAAGGGAACGCTATCTTAAAAAATGAATATCTAAAATAGTTTTAAATACGGCCCTATGGTATTCTTGAAAAATATTGATTGTAACTACTGGATAATCTTGTTGTTTCAACAACGTAAGATGGGACGTTACATACAAAGAACGTGAACCCATTGAACTTAACTTCAAAGAAGTAGAGTGATTTTGTGTGTAGCTGGTGCATTTACCTAATTTTTTGACCACATCTCACTGTTACTCAACAGCTTCGGAGGATCCAGGTGACCTGACTGAGTCAAAGGCGTTTCTTAAAACCTTCAGAGGATCACACTTTGAAATTGCTTTGGCAGAAACTTTAAGAAGATCTACGAAAAAAACTTTAAAATTATACTAAAGAGTTAGGCAGGGCATCCATAGGCTTTAAAAAGTAAATAACTGCTGGACAGGATATACGGTGGCCTTAAATCGCAGATAAAAATATAATTTGATCTTTCCAGGCACTGTAAAAAATAGCTCTGCCAACTTCCGAATAACAGTTTATATACTTTAAAGTCCTGTACTCGAAATATCTGCTAGTCGCTAGAGTTAGTACAGAATGCGCTGAAGTAGAATATCTTCTCTCCACATGGAGTATTATAGGAAATACAACACTGTTTAGGGCACAGGTATGACTTATTATCAGTTTTTTCCCCTTTTTAAACCGTATCCGGTATGATTTTCCATATCTTACGGCGTTTATCGTGGAAACAAATGCGCTTCCCCTAACCTTGTGCAAAAGTAGCTTATGTAGCCCCACTCATATGCCCCTAGTCCCAGAATTTTGTCCTGCAAAAACGGTGGTTATAGAGTTT